TTGTTGTATTCTCTGTTTGGCTTAGTTTTTCGGATCTTTGCTGTGGAGGGACGGCGTGGTGCTTCTGCCTAGAGCGCCATTTTCTCTACTGTTTTTTAAGCTGAGAAATTTGGAAGAAGGTAGGCTATGAACGAGGGATGGAAGCACACCTGGGAGCTGGCATATTTTCATAAAGAAATAGTAGAAGTTGGTAAAATCCAAACTTGATACAGAAAGATGGGGTTGAAGAAACAAAGAAGATGGTGGAGTGCAGTTGGAAATGTTGCCTGGTTAAGCGTTCGTAACATGCATGCAGCAGTCCTTTACTGAGGGCCTACTCTGCTGGGTGCTCTGTAAGGCTTACACCTTCCCTGTCCTGAAGCATTTTTAGTAACATTGGTGACCCATCACTGAGTAGGGTTGCTTAGGGTGCAGATATGAAAACAAGTGTGGTTGTCCAGTGGTACAGAGGAGAGAAGGGCCCTGTTGATGATCCTCCCACCCCCAATAGCTGTTGGATAATATTTAATCATGTGGAGTTTTATTCTGGTGCACATGTTAAATACATATGTGTGTTAGAATATTAAGACTCCCGTGTAAAATTGAATTCATCTACAGATGGGACCTGTCCTAGTACAGAGAGAAAAAAACCCAAAATACTTGTGTTAGGAGCAGTGGAATAAAAATTCAAAAACTAAGTCTTTGAAGACAAAAAGAAAGCTGAGTAAGCTAAAAAAAAAAAAAGTTTTCTTTTTAAAAGACTGATTATTTTCAAATTTTGATAGTTTTTTCTCTTAGTAGTTATTTAGTTTGATAGCTTTTCCCTGTTGTCATATAGTTACAAGTCAGTAACATTCAGTATTGTTTTTCTCACCTTCCTACATTTCAGGAGACCAACTTTAAGTGTTCTCAGTCCAAAATAAAGGCAACTAAATGTTCTCAGAAAGTGATAGAAATCTCCTGTGCCAACAGTTTTGTGCAAAGATTCCAAGAGGCCGAGACCTTCATAAAACTTTCTGAAGAAATCCAGATGGCGGTTATATGGTGCAGGAGCCGGAAACTCAAGGCTCAGGCCACCTTTCTGGGTAACAAACTTCTTAAAAGTAACCGGCTTAAACATGTGGAAGCTCAAGGTTATAGGTAGGTGTATTACAAAAATTATATTCCTTTACTTTTTCTGCTGTCATTTAAGGCAAAAATGTCTATATCCTCGTCACCTGTCTCTTTAAAATGGGCTGTCTGTCCAGCAGCCCTGGGAGCTAAAAGTGGGATCTGCTCTAACTGCGGTGTTGTTTCGGGTTTGGTTATGTGGACAAAGCTATCTCACACGTCGTAGGGAGGAGGAAAGTAAGCCTTGGTTATTGGCCTTATTCATTTATACTCTTCATCATTCCATCTGTTTATTCAGAAAACGTTAGGAGTGTCCGTATGCTAAATCTGGGAAGACCTGGGACGACAGCTGTGAGGCCGACTGAGTCCTCCCAGGGCTCATGCTCTGCTGGGAGATGGCATCGGCTGACAGCTTCAGTGCAGCAGGGTGAGGGCTGGAGAGAGTGGGGTGGGCCTGCAAAGAGTAGGGTGAGGGCTGGAGAGTGAGGTGGGCATGGAGAGAGTGGGGTGAGGGCTGGAGAGGGGGTGAGGGCTGGGGAGAGCAAGGTGAGGGCGGGGTGAGGGCTGGGGAGAGCAGAGTGAGGGCTGGAGAGAGCAGGGTGAGGGCTGCGGAGAGAGGGGTAAGGGCTGGGGAGAGAGGGGTGAGGGCTGGGGAGAGCGGGGTGGGCCTGGACAGAGTGGGGTGAGGGCTGGAGAGTGGTGAGGGTTGGGAAGAATAGGGTGAAGGCTGGAGAGAGCGGGGTGAGGGCTGGAGAGATGGGTGAGGGCTGGGGAGATGGGTGAGGGCTGGGGAGAGCGGGGTGAGGGCTGGGGAGAGGGGTGAGGGCTGGGGAGAGCGGGGTGAGGGCTGGGGAGAGGGGTGAGGGCTGGGG